GGCCCGCCTCAAGCAGCTTATAACGCTGAAGTAAGCGCGACGGCCATTCTGGCCAGAAGCCATCCTGGGACTTGGGCCCCTTCCTTCCCTTCGGTCCGGGGCGGTGGTGGCGTCCTCCTGCCTGGTCCTTGTCCTCCGCTGCTGGCGTCTCCTGGGCGCGAGCCCGTCCATCGTTGGTACAATTGCCTGGCCAACGAACGCAAAATTGCTCTTTGGCTTGGGTGGAGCGTAGGATGGTCGTTCTCCGACCTCTAATCTTGAAGCAGAATGAAAGCCGCCAGATGCGTTCGCCTGATTCCCAGTGTTGTGTTCTATCACAGTTGGCAATGTGTACGTATCTGTTCCGAAGCCTTTCTCTCGCCCTCCTTCCCTTCCCTTTTCTTCCTTCCCTTCGCTCCTGGTCGGTGGTGGTGTTTTCCTGTCTTGTCCGCCTGCTCTTCCGTTGCCGGCGTCTCCGGGGCACGAGCCGGTCCATCGTTGGTGCATTTGCCTGGCCTGCGAATACAAAATCGCTCTCTGGATTGGGTGGAGCGTGGGATGATGATGATGATGATGATGGGGGTGGTGATGGGCAGGGTGATGGTTGTGGTGGTGATGATGATGGTGGTAGTGGTGATGATGTTGGTGGTGGGGGTGATGTTAATGATGGTGGCGGTGATGATAATAATGGTCTCGGAGGATGCTAATGGGGGTGGTGATGATAATGGTGGGGGTGGTGTCGATGATGGTGGTGGTAATGGTTGATGCATGGTGGTGACGATGATGACGATGCTGGTGATGATCATGGTGATGGTGATTGGAATGTGGATGGTGATGAGAATGTGGATGGTGATGGTGATGATGGTGATGATGATGTTGGTGGTGGTGGTAATCTTCACCACGATGGTGGTATTGGTGGTGGTCGTGATGATGATGCTGCTGGTGGTGATGATGATGGTGATGGTGGTGGTAACATTCATGATTGATGATTATGGCGATAATGATGGTGATGGTGATGGTGATGGTGATGGTGATGGTGGTGCTGACTGATGATGATGATGGTGGTGGTGGTGATGGGCATGATGGTGCTGATGGTGATGGAGGTGGTGATGCTGATGATGGTGGTGGTCCTGATGGTGATGATGATGGTGATGATTATGATGATGATAGTGGTGCTGTTCATGACTGGTGGTGGCGATGGTAATGGTGGTGGTAATGGTGATTATGATGGTTCGATGGTGATGCTGGTGATGATGATGGCGATGGTGACGGTGATGATGCGCGTGGTGGTGATGATAATGATGAGCGGATGTGGTAGATGATGATGGTGATGATGATGATGATGTTGGTGGTGGTCATGGGGATTGATGGTGACGCCGATGATAACGATGATGATGTTGGTGGTGATTGTGATGGTGATGGTGATTGGTAAGGAGGAGGATGATGGTGTTAGTGGCGGTGGTGATGATGATGATGGTGGTGGTGGTAATGGTCTTGATAATAATGATGATGAGGATGGTGGTGCTGGTGATGATGATGACTGTGGTGGAAAGGACGATTGATGGTGATGACGATGCTGATGATGAAGGTGGTGGTGATATTGCTGGCGGTGGTGATGATGATGATGGTAGTTGTATTGCTGATATGCGTGGTGATGCTGATGAGTGGCCGAGCGTGATAATGATGATGACTGTGTTCGTGGTGTCGGGGATGATGATGATACTGGTGATGATGATGATGATGAGTGTGGTGGTGGTGGTGGTGATCGTTGATGGTGATGGCGATGATGATTATGATGGTAATAATGTTTGTGGTGATGATTGACGGTGTCTACGCTGATGACGCTGATGGTAATGAGGGTGTTTCTTGGTGGTGGTGATGATGGTGGTGGTTGTTTTGGTGGTGATGATGGTGGTGGTTATGGTGAGTTATGGTGATGAGGTGATGATGATGAGGATGGTGATGGTGGTGGTGATGATTGGTGATTGATGTTGGTGGTGTTTGCGGTGCCGATTGATGGAGTTGCCGATGACCACGTTGATGGCGATGGTGATGTTAATTCTGATGATGCCGATGGTAATGGTGATGGGGTTCGTGATGGTTGATGACGATGTTGACGATGGTGGTGGTGGTGGTGGATAATGATGGTGGTCATGTGATGGTGATGCTGATGCCGGTGGTAATGATGATGATGATTATGATGGTGGTGATGTCGATTGATTGTGATGACGACGATGGTGGGGATGACGACCATGTTGATGGTGATGCTGATGGTAACGGAGATGGTGATGATGTCGATGCTGGTGGTGGTGATGATTGATGTTGATGGTGGTGGAAAGGATGATGGTGGTGGTGATGATGATAACGATGATGGTGATGGTGGTGATGGTGATGATGATGATGAAAATGGTAGGGTTGATGGTGATTGATGGTGATGGTGATGATGATTGATGGTGGTGACGATGATGATGATGATTGGTGGTGATGACGATGGTGAACATGTTTGTGATGGTGATGATGACAGTGGTGCCTCTGGTGGTGATGATTGGTGATGATGGTAATGATAACGATGATTTGGTGATGATGATGATGATGATGATGACGGTGATGGTGGTGGTGAGGATTGTGACGGTGACGGTGGTGACGATGATGATGATGATGATGATGATGATGATGATGATGTCTGCGGTGGTGATATGTTTGGTATGATGTCGATAGTCATGGTGGTGTTGGTTGCCATCATGATGGTGATGATGATGGTGTTGGTGGGAGTGGTTGATGCCGGTGATGGTCACGGTGATGCTGGTGATGGTAATGATGATAATGGTGGTGGAGGTAATGATGGTGAGTGTGATGGGTGATGATGGTGATGGTAGTGGATATGATGATTGATGGTGGTGTTGATAGTGTTTGTGATGGTGGTGGAGATGGTGATTATGGTGGTGATGATGATGGTGGCAGTGATGATGATTAGTGATGCTGGTTAGTGATATGATGGCGATGGTGAATGGGGTGGTGGTAGTTATGGTGGCGGTGGTGGTGGTGATATTATTGATGATGATTGTGGTGATGATGACGGTGGTGGTGGTTTTGATGATTGATGCTGGTGACGATGATGATGATATCACCAATATTGTTAATGGTCATATTCGGAATGCCCGTAGTAGAAATTACTATTATGGACGATAATAGTACGCATAATCGGTGTGGCGGTGATGGTGGTGGTGGTGCTGTTCGTGGTGGTGATGATGATCGTGGGGTTGATGGTGATTGATGTAATTGTGATGGTTATGTTGATGATCATCATGATGATGATGGAGGTGGTGGTTATGGTTAATGCTTGTGATGATGATGATGATGGTGGTGGTCATAGTGAAGATGATGCTGATTATGCTGATGGTGGTGTTTGTGGTGTTGATTATGATGGTGGTGGTACTGATGGTGATGGTATGGCGATGCTGATAATGATGATCATGATGGTGATGTTGATGGTGATCGCGGTGGTCATGATTGATGATGATGATGATGATGCTGCTGATGAGGTTGATGTTACTGTTCATGTTGGTGAGAACGATTCTTATGATGACGACGGAGATGATAACCATGGTGATGATGATCATGGTGATGAGGATGATGAACATGATGGTGGTGGTGATCGTGATGGTAATGTCGATTGTGGCGCTGAGAAGGAAGAGGGCGATGGCGCTGATCTTCATGATGACGATGGTGATGCTGATAATGATGATGATGGTGATGAGGATGATTATGATGACTTGCATGAGGACGATGATGAGGATGAGGATGCAGATGAAGCTTCGGATGACCATGGCCATGGCGGTGAGGATGAGGATGATGATGAGGATGAAGGTCAATATTAGGATGAATATTTGGATGATGAGGACGATGCTGATGGTGATAACCTCAGAGGTCTCCCCGGCAGCGGCCCACAGAGGTCTCCCCGGCAGCGGCTTGCGCGAGTGGATTTGCCCCCCCCCCCCCCCCTGTGGAAGCCGCGCGCTAAAGGTCACGCCCTCTGACCCAGACATGCTCGCGGCGTGAAAGCATCACCACGGGGGGTCCTCGCCAGGCCACAGGACCGTCAACAAAGAGTTGTAGCATGAGACGCCAGCTCTCGGGACAGGGTCGGAACTTCCGGAGACATGTTCCAGAGCCGCCAGGTCTCGGAGATCTCCGATCTGTCCCCGCCCGAAGCTGTCCTGGCCTTGGCTGTGTCCCAATCTTTTCATCGCGCCTTCTTCTGCCGTGCGGCCACACAGCGCGCAGAAGCGCGACCCCGCGCCAGCGCCTCGCGCGTCTGCTTTCCTCTCATCGCCGACGTCCGCTTGTCAAGGCAGCATCGGTGCTGGTCTATGCGAGGTCCAGAGGCGACCTGATCCGGCACAATCCCGCTTAATCTCGTGCAATCCTTATTCGGCTCAGTCCCGGGCTCAACCTAGGCTCATCCGTCTTCGTAACCCTGGGTCGAGTTGAATAGCTTTTAGAAGTTGTTGTTTTTATCCTCTGGCGCGTAGCGGTCGTCATGTCCCTTGCCCCCCGGGGTGCCAGTAATGATCGTACGTAGGGGGGCGGCTTCGACGCCACCCCCCAACATGTTGGTGCTCGCGCGCGTACTGTGGCGAACGCAGCGCACCCCCGCCCCGACGTGCCCCACCACGCCCTGGCACTACCGCTACCCAGGGCCCCCAAAGCAAATTGTAGACAATCTTTGGATCCTTCGTATACGAAGACCTCCAAGGATTTGCGAAATCAGTCCGCATAGTAAGGGTTGGCAACCTTCCCAAGGGTACTCCTGCACCCTGCCTCCTCGGCCCATCCTTAGCGACGTTCGCTGGCCAACCTCGTTCGAAAAACGTTCACATGGGCCTCCAAGGCCCTTGCATCCTTACCGCGCATCTTTCTGATACGGGTTGATTGTGCTTCCTCGCCACCGTACTGGCGCCCCGCGCCCCGCGCCTTATCCTCTCGTCCCCCGCTGCCCGTGTCCATCCGTGACGCGCTAGGGCGCCGGGCACGAGCGGCGCATACACGCCAACAGGGAGCTGCGGCCGGAGGAGCAGAGAGCCCTGCGGGAGCTGCAGGACGAGGCGGCTCTCCTCCTCCTCCTCCTCCTCCTCCTCCTCCTCCTCCTCACCCTCCGCCTCCTCCTCCTCCTGCTCCTCCTCCTCTCCTCATCCTCCCTCCTCCTCCTCCTCCTCCTTCTCCTCCTCTCCTCCCCTCCTCCTTCTCCTCCTCATCTCCTTCTCCTCCCTCCGCCTCCTCCTCCTTCTCCTCCTCCCCCTCCTCCTTCTCCATCCTCCTCCTCCTCCTCCTCCTCCTCCTCCTCCCTCCTCCCTCCTCTCCTCCTCCTCCTCCATCCTCCTCCTCCTCCACCTCCTCCTCCTGCCTCCTCCCCCCTCCCCCTTCTTCTCCTCCTCCTCCTCCTCCTCCTCCTCCTCCTCCTCCTCCTCCTCCTCCTCCTCCTCCTCCCTCCTCCTCCCTCCTCCTCCTCCTCCTCCTCCTCCTCCTCCTCCTCCTCCTCCTCCTCCTCCTCCTCCTCCTCCCTCCTCCTCCCTCCGCCTCCTCCTCCGCCTCCTCCTTTTCCTTCTCCTCCTCCTCCTCCTCCTCCTCATCCTCCTCCTCGACATGCTCCGCCTTCTCTTCCTCCTTCTCCTCCCTCTTCCTCCTCCATCCTCCTCCTTCTCCTCCTCCTCCTGCCTCCCCGTCCTCCCCCTCCTCCTGCCCCTCCTCCTCTCCCTCCTTCTCCTCCTCCTCCTCCTCTCCTCCTCGTCCTCCTCGTCCTCCCCGTCCTCCTCCCATCCTCTCTCCCCTCTCCTCTCTCCTCCTCCTCCTCCTCCTCCTCTTCCTCCTTCTTCTCCTCCTCCTCCTCCTCATCATCATCATCATCATCATTCCTCCTTCTTCTCCTCCTTCTCCTCCTCTTCCTCGTCCTCCACCTCCTCTTCCTCCCTCCTCCTCCTCTTCCTCCTCTTCCTCCTCCTCCTCCCTCCTCCTCCTCCTCCTCCTCCTCCTCCTGCTCCTCCTCCTCCTCCTCCCTCCTCCGTCTCCTCCTCCTCCCTCCTCCGCCTCCGCCTCCTCCCTTCTCCGCCTCCTCCTCCTCCATCTCCTTCCTCCTCCCCCTCGCCACTCCGTCATAACCAATGTTCATCACGTAGTCTACCAGGGTGCTTCCTCGATGGCCCCACCTACCATCTGCTCTACCCCACATACTCTTCGAGGGGACTCGGTGGGATGCTGGAACAGGGTATCATAATACAGTTGCGACAATGCATGGGGCAACCCTGCCAGACCGAGAAGCGAGCCGAGCGGGAGAGGGAAAACTATACTTAAAACAATAGAGTAAGCAGCCCCCATCAACTCTTTGGGGACACGGGCCTGCCGACCCCCCCCCTTCTCCTCCTTTTGAGAGGTCGTGTCGTCGTCTCCTCCCCTTGGCTTTGGCGCGCTGCTGAGCCCGCGCAGGGCCAGCCGCCGCTCCCCCCCGACTGACCCGCAGGGATTCGCGACAGTAAGGTAGCGAACCTCTCCTACGGGGCCACCTCGGAGCTCAGTCCTTGAGCAACGTGGCGCGCCCTTTTGCCGACCTTGGCGGGGAGACAGGGCTGTTGTATAATCAGTCACAGATGATGTTGGCAGAAGTGCGTAAGACACCAGCGTAGGTGGCTTGGCGTTGCACCCCCTTTTATGCAGATGCCCTTGTCCTCATCTTCCTCCTCCTCCTCCTCCTCCTCCTCCTCCCTCCTTCTTCCTCTCCTTTTTTCGTCGTCGTCTTTCTCCTCCTTCTCCTCCTCCTCCCTCCTCCTCCTCTTCCTCATCCACTTCCTCCTCCACTTCCTCCTCCTCTTTCTTAATTTCCTCCTCCTCCTTTTCTTTCCTCTTCCTCCTCCCTCCTCCCTGTTCCTCCTCTTCCATTCTCCCCCTCCCCCTCCTCCTGGCTCCTCCTCCTCCCCCTTATATCTCCCTCCTCCTCCTCCTCCTCCCCCACCTTCTCCGACTCGTCCTCCTCTCCCTCCTCCTCCTCAGCAGCATCAACATCATCATCTTCCTGCTACCAGCCTCTCCCTTCTCCTCCTCGTCCTCCTCCTTCTCTTCTCTTCCTCCATCTCTCCCTCTTCCTCCTCATCCTCCTCCAAGTCCTCCTCATCCTTCCTCCTCCTTCTCTTCATCCCTCCTCGTCCTCCTCCTCCGTCCTCCGCCCTCCGCCTCCTCCTCCCTTTTCCGCCTCCTCCTTCTATAAGGTTTCAATATCTTCCCTCCTCCTCGTCCCTCCGCCGTACGAAATGATCATCAGGAAGCAGACCAGTGTGCTTCCTCGATGACCCCACCTACCATTTGCTCGACCCCACATACACTTCGAGGGGATCGGTGGGATACTACAAAAGGGTATCAGAGTACAGATGCGACAAAGCATGGGGCACTTTTCGGCCAGAGCGGGAAGTGAGCCGAGCGGGGGAAGTGAGTATATACTTAAACAGTAGAGTAAGCAGCCCCCATCCATATTTTGCGGACACGGGCCTGCCGAACCATTCCCCTCTCTTCCTTTTGAGAGGTCGTGTCGTCGTCTCCTCCGTCCTCGCTTGGGCGCACTGCTAAGCCCGCGCGTCCCCTCCCCTAGGGCACGCGGAAGGGCCGGCAGCCGCTCCCCCCACACTTACCCGCAGGGACTCGTGAAGGTAAGGTAGCGAGCCCCTCTTGCGGGGCCATCTCGGAGCTCAGTCCTTGAGCAACGCGGCATGCCCCCTGCCGCCCCTAGCGAGGAGGCTGGGCTGTTGCACAATCGATCGCAGAGGACTTTGGCAGAAGTGCGTAAGACACCAGCGTACGTGTTTTGGCGTTCCACACCCTTTATGCGGATGTCATTGTCCACCTCCTCCTCCTCCTCCTCCTCCTCCTCGTTCTCCTCTTTCTTCTCCTCCTCCTCCTCCTCCTCCTCCTCCTCAGGTCCTCCTCCTCGTCCTCCTCCTCCTCCTCCTCCTCCTCCACCCCTCTTCCCATTCATGTCGTCCTCGTCTTCATATTCGTACTCTCTCCCTCTTCCGCCTCCTCCTCCTCCTCCTCCTCTACCTCCTCCTGCTCGTCATCCTCTCTCCCCCTCCTCCTCCTCCT